GAGTTCGGACTGAGTGAGAAATTAGCAAGGGCGGGATAGAAAAGGCAACTGCAATACCTCTGTTTGATTGTTCGGCGTTTGTGGTGCCCAAGGGTCAACATGAGATTATAAGTTGCGGGCTCTGAACAACTACTCAGTTATCCTACCCTTCAAGATAGCAGCACCGCAAATAGTGCCTAACTGTACAGGGGTGAGATCTGTGTTAAGCTGGGCATGAACAACGTATTTTGCCCCGCACATGAAGGGAGGGTCTAGCCCTCCTTTATGTTCGGGGCAAAATTCCGTTCTAGTTCTTGGATTCTGAAGTAAAGTTCTAATTAGCGCGCCTACCATTCGATCCATCACTGCTCCCTTCATCTACACGAAGCTTAAGCGCTTAGTAGCCGCCCTTTCGTTCGAGGAATGAGACTTGCGCTCGTGTTACCCGCTGTGCTTTGGACATTTTGTCAGGTTAAGGCTATGAGAAAAGCAATTGAACTATGACACGTAAAGTATTGTGTTTTTGGGCATGGAAATCAATATCGCTGCCAAGGTCTATACCCAAAGACTATTACGAGCATAAAAGGGAAGCACTAGCACTATCAAAGCAGCTTAAAATAAAAGCACGAAAATAACTTCAGCTGCTCAGAAATGTGGATTTTACCAATGCTGCTTCTCCTCTAGCCTTACGCAAGTGCGAGTTCTGCAGCGCGAGCGGACATCAGTTGTGAATCTCAGGGATGAGTTAAGGTACGAAATCCTTCTGAACTTGTCCAAGGAGGCGAGGAAGGGCCTATGGTGGTTTTGAAGCTTAACTTTCGGTATCATTATCGTTTGCCAGGTTTTATCCTGATGTGAGCTTCACTACAAGTGCATCAAAGTCGGATGGGGTGCTGTATGCTGCGAGCAGAAAAGGGACAGTAGGTGGGTGCAGAAGAGGCGAATACCCACATTAATCTGCAAGAAGTTAAAAGCCACCTTCTTTGTCCTGCTTTCTTTCGTCGAGGAATGGCACAACACCATCGTATTTAAAGAACTTGATAACACGTCCGCGATTGCCTACTCAAGAAGCAGCGAAGCATCGCGAGCAAAGCTGTGAGCCTTTCAGCGAGATAAATGAGTGTTTGGGCAAAGAACGTTAAACCTGCTTATCACCAACATACCGTCCCGACAAAATGGTCCTAGAATGAAACTCTCCTAGCTCTACGCTTTCTTAGGAGGTTCAAACTGGCACCTCTCTCCTCGAAGTCTTTGCAGAGACGACCATAAAAGTGGATTTTCCTGCTTCGCTACAGCAAAGAAACAAGACACGGCCCCAAAAACAGACGTGTCCCGAAGCCTCGCCGCTTTTCCCTGGAGCGAGAAAATAGTCGTCCCGAAGGAAACTAACGCCTACCAGAAGTTAGGCTCTAGCTCCGTCTATTGTTCCGCATATTTCCTCATGTTAGGCTACGCAAGCCCTATAAGCGGACATGAAATCAAATCTAAGGGATCTTCAGTATTTCTCGATGTCCTCAGCTGTAAATCGTGAAGACACCATCAGGGTGACACTTTGAACCCACTGCATTAAAACAGAGGTGCAGCTAAAGTATGACGTAGTTAAGAGTTTGAGTGAATGTGAATGCATAAGGCTCCATTTAATCACTATTTCATTCTAAATGAATACGACATCATGATGAAACATCACTTTACATTCCATCTCCTCTTTGTTGATCGTGGGTTTTCGAGTCTATTGACCGTGCTTGCACAGCCCAGCTAGAAGGCATATGCTGAGCAATGGACGAAGTCAAAACTGGCGTTTATAAGGAATTAGATCCCCCGAGGATGCTCAATCGCTCCAGGGAAAAGCAGCGAGGCTTGGGACTCCTGCTGCGCCGCCGAACTCAGGCATAGGCTCAGGAAGGGGTAGCAACATGAATAAGGCCAATCAAGAGGAGTGAGTACAATACATTAAAGCTCTAACTTTATTTTGACAGTCAGTGTGAAGCGCCACCAGGCGCAACATTATCAGCTGTTATAATTATGTTATGCCGGGCCTCGGGAAGTAGAAGAAAGAAAAGCTCCAAAACTTTTATCTTAGATAATTTTTGGAGCCTTTCTTTCAAAAGAGGGTCTTCGGTGGGTAATTTGAAGGAGGTGTTTGATAGAAACGCTTATATTGTATGAGACTAATTGGTGCATTAAATCCCACCCATTAAACCTCTCAATAATCTCAACTTTTTTACTCCCCGTTGGTAGCCTCATGCGGCTGAAATCTTCGTGACTTCGCAACAAACCTTACGACAACGCAAAAAAGGAATTTAAATCTGACAGAGGAGGAATAAATCTTTATCAGACCACATTGATAAGAGGATTGTGCTGATATGCTGGATTGTGGTTGTTTTGTTCATAAAAGAGCGGTAGTTCATCTGCTTACTTGAGCATAATCAAAAGGTATCGCTTTGCTTTCCAATTAGATTCCATGGGGAACTAAGTGTGACCTTGCCACCTTAGCAAAGGTTGAAAGTACAGGCAGAGTTTACTGAACGCGACTCTTTTTGATGGATAAGCAAACCAGAAAATGGAGCGCAGTCCTATTGGTCATGAAGCGAGGATAGACAGATTCACAAAAGCAGAGTATTGCAAATTTGTTCGCTGCTAATTAGAATTATACACCATCTAATCAGGCATCATATGATATTTCCAAATCTTTTCTAGGCTTTGCGTATCATTCTGAATAACTAGCTTTAGTTTAGATCTGCACTTATATGCGGACCTTAGCTTCTTTCCAACGTGGTATCATGAGAATCTGAAGATGTGTGGTTCTCTGCAGCTGATGTAACGTAACATGAATGGGATTCAAAGAACCCGCAAGGGATATTTTACGTTATTGAAACTATCTTCCGCCAAATGCTAGTAATGCCTCACGCCAGCGCTAGAGCAGAGTACAATCAACCGTAATCTTAGAAAGATGTAGAAGAACCACTTATGAGTGAAAAATAAAGTTTATGTAATTCACTAAAATGAACTGAAGCCTAGAAGAAGTTCCGGAACAAAGTATTGCTAACAAAATGGTCACATTTTTTCTCCTCTCAGCTTAACCTTTGATAAAAAAGATGAGAAGGATGAGAAGAAGATACGCTTAAAGGCACTGTCCAGGAACAGCGGTGATTTCTAAGTTCTTTCTATATTGTTATAGTCCAATTTAAAGAATATGTCTGACGTCTTTTCCCAGAAATTTTATTTACTAGAAGCAAGCGATTGCTTTGGGACATGCTGCACTGCTGCACGTGCCTGCAATTTAAGAAGGGATAAAATTCTTCGTTTTTGCCGTACGCAGATTAAAGCTTGTGACACTTGCTCGATCTACTGAGATGTGACTCTAGCTTGTCGCACACCTGAACGATACCAGGTAAGCGCTTGAAGAAGATCTTCGAAGAAGAAATAAACGAGATACAATAATTCCTTTCTTTGGGATACTGATTTCTTGTAGTGTAGTCTTTTGAATAATGCAATAATCAGAAAAGAGCATTTGGGAGATCGAAAGGGAGAAAATGCAACGAAAGAAAAAACTGTTGTTCCTTTATTTCTTTCCTTACCTTTTCGGGACTCTACCGAATATTCGTCAATTACGCTTGAACATTCTTGGCTTAGATCGAGGGAATGACTGCAATAATTTTTCATGTAGATATATAAAGCCACGGCTCTGGTTGTCTTCCCTCTTTAAGCGTGGAAACGGCGGACCTTCCCCTACGAAAGATGAAGAAATTGTGTCCGAGAAGAAGTTCCGGACTTCGATTTTTTTCTAATTACGATTTAAGAAAAACCATTGAAAACACATGAAATATTCTTTTGAAAACATATAGGAGATAAATCCAATATAATATTGGTACATGGAACTAGGGAGGTAGATGCGAACTTTTTTTGCCCATAAAATATAAAGAGAAAATTCCTGATTCATTAGGCTGACCTATTCCAATGAAAATCAAAAATCTTGAAAAGAAAAACTCATAAATTGAAGAGAATAGCACGGATTCGCTATAACTATTTTTTTTCAAAAACAGCTGACAAGTTTGAGACATCTAGAGGTGCATATATTGTGAAGTGATTTACAAAGATTCAGAATTGACTACGGAAGAGGCGTCTGTTGCTTCAAATTGTAAAGGGAAGAGAAAATAGAGAATATTTCATTGCGATATTTATGAAGGTTGTACAACTGTCAGCCAAATTCTTCACGCGTTCCTAGGCAGAATGATATATGGATGTCGGTGGTTTCATCGAGTATGAGCTGAGATGACCCAAGACAGCCAAATGCCCGTCGCCTCTGCTTGTTCTCTTCCCGGGATCACACTTTCTACTAACCAAGCATCTTCCACGAGGCATTTGGCGAAGAATATAGACAAGTCTTGTAGTATGATGGCTTGAGAGGGCCGTATTTATTGGTTTTCTTGATAATTTGGTGGCATTCGATGGAAGATCTTATTCTCAGTGAATTCACAACTTGCATTTTCAATATCAAGCCTGTATTTCTTCTGCATTTTGTCCTTTCCCTTCACTCGTGCCTCCGGTGTTTATATAATTATTTTCATGGCATATTGTTGTTTGCTTGGTGCAAAAGTTCCTGCTCGTAGTTCCGCTCTCCTCAAAATTTACTCCGAAAGAACGCTGACAACTGCCAATTCCCAACCATCATTATTTTAGGAGAAGTTCCGAAGGTTAGGTCCGAACTCCGGCGGATTAGATGAATCAGTTGGATTCTTCCAAGTACGAAGAGTCATTTGGCTATTAGCCGAGTGGCAAGTCGAGCACCTTACACTCCTATACAAAAATATTCAAATATTCTTACCTCGGTAGTCGTTATGTCAAAGCGCTTAAGCAAGTGAGCAAGAACAAGTTTTTCCTCCATGTATGCCAATCTCATCCCGATACATTGCCGGGGTCCCAAACCGAAAGAAATCCAAGCAGCTACGGGTCTTTCTCCATCCATCCACCTAAATTGCTTGCTATTAATATTTTGTGGTATGCCTGAGCTCT